TGGGTGGGGGAGAAAGAGCCATATCCTTTAAAATCTCAAGAATCTTTAAACACACCTGCTCATTTATAAAAACCACACTTCAGTAAAACCTTAGAGGTATTTATTGGTATAAGGTAAGTTTTTTTGTTTTTTATGCTTGATAAAGGAGCATTGGGTGCACTGGCCTCCAAAACCCCACCCTAATTCTTTTTTTCTGGGACTTGAACATTCACAAAAGATTTTTTTTTAATGAGGATATCCATTTTTAAATTAGAAATGATGGGATTTTATAGAAGTTGGAACTACTTTATAAACCAGAACATTACATTAACTGAAAAAGCTCTGTATATTAATGTTTTGCTTATGATTTCAAGTCATTTGCATCAACAGACAATAGAGAAGAAAGCTACGTAAGGGAAACCTTGCTGGTTCTGGATGTGCATTCAATGGAGAATCAGAGTCATGAGTTCTGTTGGCACCACATGACAGGAAGGACTAGGTAGACTGCCTTCTGCCAAATTTCAGACCATTCCTCTTGAAACTGACATGCTGATACATGTTGAAAAAGAAACAGCCTGAGATTTGGCTGTGGAATCTCTTCCTCAGAATAAAGGGCCTGCACTCACAAGATTATATTCCAACTCCTCTGTGTTATAGGACATGTGCTCGTATCCAGTTTGGCCTCCCTGGGAACATTCAAGGACAATATATATTAAAAAAGACTGCTATTCAGATGGCTTTCCAAAAAAATAATATTTGCTGATGAAAATGTGTGACCCAGGATTCACTCTTTTCCTTCCTGTTCCTTGGTTTGGGGTTAAGATTTGAACTTGCATTCAGAATTCCCCTCTCCTGGTTTGTTAATAAGCATTTACTGAGTTTCTCAGTTGGATATAAAAGGAATGGTGATATAACACCAGGTAGGGTGTTGGAAGTAAAGTCAACAAGAACTGGACTGCCCAGGTAGACCAGACAAGAAATATGACCAAATGAGCCAATTCTAATTTATTGTAAAGCTTACATTAATGGAATCTTGCATATCTGAAAGTACAAATCCCTCACCATCTCTTTTACAATTTGAGAAGCTAGAGAAGTCCTTTCTGTGCCTTCTCCATCCTTTGTGGGGCTGTGGGCTCTGCTATCTCTTATCTGATCCTTCCCTAGGCAGCATTTTCTCACCCTGTCTCTCAAGAACTTTTTCACTTCCCATTGCAACATGCAACAAATGAAGGAGAAAGAAAAGCAGGAATCCAAACTGAACCAGTTTATTAAGAACATTTTTATAGCCCTACTTTTGAATCTACACTCCCAAACATCACCACAAAATATCTCTACTCTTCCCAATCGTTGCTTAATTTTCTTTTTTCTAATTCTATGTCTGTGATATATTTTATCAAATAACATTTAGTTATGACATTTCTGTTTAGAGTGAATAAAATATGTAATAGTATAGAAAATCTCCAGGCATATTAATTAAACTGGTAAACTTCTCAGCTTAACAAAGTGATTCTAGGAGAATTAAGCTTCAATGTTTATGACAAGATAAGCAAACACATGAAAACAGAAACACATTCTGCTGGTGTTTTGCCAGAGTTACCTTGCTTTCTCTGACATCAGGGCTACAGAAAACCAAAACAAACAAGAACTCAAGCACGAATCTTTTCAGAGATTGAATTTTTACAATGATACATCAGACAACTTAACACATTTCTCTAACATTCCTGTCAGGGGAAAAGCAAGAATTTCACTTTAGTATTTGTCATTAACATTAACTCTGAAGGCTTCAAAGTGAAACAGGGATTGTTGAAATTAAATAGACCACTGATGTTTTCTTTTCTGGGTACATAAAACTAGGTGTGGGGGAGGGAAAAATGTAATGTTCCAAAGGCTATAATTTTGGTTTCTCTTTAAGCTGTTCATAACAGAAAATGTACATGGTACATTAGCCCTTTCAGGCAAGAAATGTAAAGTCACTGGAACTAAGGATAGCATGGTATGTGTGTGTGTGTGTGTGTATGTGTACGCATGCATGCGCGCCGCACGTGCGCACACACACATATGTATGTTGGCTAATAGCAGAGTTTTGTATCCCAGTGCTTTGCATTAAAGAAAATGTCTTATAATCTATAGATTCTGTGGTCATTTCTCATCAGGCCACTATCTAAACAGACTGAATTGATTCTAAGGCAGTAATATTTATGTTGAGGTTATATAGATCTGTCAAATCCAGTGATTCATTTCACTCCTTGAACCATAATTTCCAGTTTTTCTTTATTAAAACAAAATCTCGACATGGTTCTAAAATTGTAGTTCTGGAATAGGATTCAATAGTTTAGGGGAAAAAAATCTTATATTTCCTCTTTATGATTTTCAATATCTCATAGTATATAAGATAAAATGATGAAATTGCTTCTTGTGTATTCATTCATAGAACATATATTTTCAAAATAGAATAAGACCAAAAAATGCAATCTGATGTTACCATTATTATCCAATTTAACAGAATGACTCCTCGGAGTTACTTTTCCCCAACTCTAGCGGGGATATTCTTTTACAAACAACCTTCCTATCTGAATCTTGCATTTATAGGAAAAACTCCTCCCTCAAGCCAGCCATGGCAACTTCAGCATTTTATTACGCAAGCATATCGAGGTACCTATCCCCCTCCTTAAACAATGATATTCAAAGGGTTAAATAGAATAGAGAATTATTATTTCTGCTTGAAACAGAAATCACACTGACCTTAGATAAAATATCCAGAATGTATCCTTTATTATTTGAACCTGGGGTTTTGTTGAAGTCTGTAACTCATTACTATACATAACACAGTGATATTTGTACATTTTTGGGGTAGTTTGCAAAAGAATTTTCCCAAACATTGCAAGAGGTAAAGTGCTTTTTAAATAAATTGATAAATGCACTCTTTCCTTTACCATCTGGTGCCAGAACTGGGTTGTAAAGAAAACAAAGTTCAGATGGCATTCTAGTAGGCTTAGAGTTATCTTGAGGTAAGATGCGTGGAATGAATGAATGAATCCTGTGAGAATGAATGAACGAATCCTGTGAGAATGAGATAGGGGAAAACCCGAGACAGTCCTCTAGCTTGTTTGCAAGACCTGGGCTCTGGCAGAAAATAAAGCTCAAGTAAGAAAGTACAAGTTGAATTAACACTTATTTGAAGAATTATTGTCCCAGCTCCTGTTTCTGTTCAAGTAAAGTTTTAAGAAACCTTAAAGAGCCACAGACTTCCTTTCTCCACTCCAATATCTTGGTGCTGACTCTTTCTCCCAAAGGGTTTAGATTAGAAACACTATCGGGTGATTGGAAGGCTACATCCTCCAACTGAGACAGGGTTGATGGCTTTCAACCAACTAAAATAGAGGAAACGGAGTTAAGCCTCTCCCCTGAAGAGGAATAAATTGAGGTTCATCATACTCTATCAGAACTCTACTTGGCTCCCTGACTTTGGGACCTGCAGGGATTCAATAGCAAGTAGTAAAGGTACTTTACTACTTTTCCAGTTGTATCCAACTTTAGCGGGCAGTGTGTCACCGAAAATATTTGAAAAAAGATTGTCCGAAAGTATTCCTAAGGGCATCTGGCCAGCATGACTATATGCCGGGGATGGAAAGCTGTTACCTTCCCAACAAAGTGATACTTATATGTATTTGCATGCTTTTGAACTGCTTAGGTGGGCAGGAGCTGGGGCAAGTAATGGGAGTTCACTCCATCACACAGTCCTTGGGTGTCGAACCTGAGCTGTCAGGTCTCCTGCTGATAAGCTTATCATTTTTAACCACTGAGTCAGATAATCAGAGTTGGAAGGGACCTTGTAGGTCATCTAATCTAACCCCCCACCCAAGCGGGAGACCCTACACCATTTCTGACAAATGGCAGTCCAATCTCTTCTTGAAAGTTTCAACTGATGGAGCTCCCACAACTTCCGAGGGCAACTTCTGTTCCATTGGGTTGATTGTTCTCACTGTCAGAAAGTTTCTTCTTGTTTTCAGGTTAAATCTCTCCTTGTTCAGTTTCCATCCATTATTCCTTGTCTGGCCTACAGGAGCTTTAGAAAATAGCTTGACCCCTTCCTCCCTGTGGCAGCCCCTCAAATATTGGAAGACCTCTATCATGTCTCCCCTGGTCCTTCTCTTTACTAGACTAGCCAAGCCCAGTTCCTGCAATCATTCATTGTATGTTTTAGCCTCCAGTCCCCTAATCATCCTGGTTGCTATTCTCTGTACTTTTTCTTGAGTCTCAACATCTTTTTTATAATGTGGTGACCAAAACTGGATGCAGGACTCTAGGTGTGGTCTTACTAAGGCTTTATAGAGTGGTATTAGTACTTCCCTTGATCAAGTCATCATGCCCCCTTAGCAGTAATATAACATACAGGTAGTATGTCAGCAAAACTGCACTTGGGAGCTTTCCTTCAGTAGCAAGGATCATTACAGCATGTTATTAAATTAGATTAAATTGATCAGTAGAAATACTAATTATGGCTAAAGTGTGGCAGATAAGTCTCTCCAGTGAAAAAAAGATATGCCCACAAGCATGATGAATTCATTGGATTTGGGGGCTTTATCTGTTTATGAAGTGAAGTAGATAGAACAGAAAGGAATTGTCCCAACACAATGAGTAACCGGAGCTTTGGAAATTTATCTTCCAAGAGCACATTCCAAGACAATGCCGTATGACTGATGGTGGTGAGCATCATTCAAAGGGCAGAGAAGAATCACCGACACATCTTGCACAAAGGAGGAAAAAAAATGTAACATTTTCAGCAAGTTAAATAGGTGAACACAACACTACCTTCAGCTTCATATATTATCTTCCGTTTTGTGCATGAAAATGGATAAAAATGATTTATTCAATCCATAAATGGGTACTAAACGAAGAGAGCAAAGAAAGGTCAATGAAATATCTGCTATTATTAACTATTCCATTTGGATAAAGATCTAGATTCCAAAGCTTATTCTTGCAATATTAAAATATGATGTGAAAGAACACGATTTCTTTACCTGGAAAGAATTCATCCAGCGAAGAGAAGGAGGCAATGAAGCATTACTCTGAGATAGTATCAACAGAAGTTCCAAACAGGTTTTTGATGGAAATGTCAGGGGAGAGACTCCAATATCTTCTCTCCATGCATCAACAAGACTGGAATGAAACAAGAATTCTGGATGTAATATGTTTTAATAAGTGAAAACCAATAAATATTGCTTATAAAGCAGGTTTAGCTACACAGAAATATAGCAATGGATATAATGCTCTCTTGTTCAAATCTTATTCAATTACTTAAGCCAGGGATGTCAAACTCACGATGACATGTCACGTGCCATATCGCAACTTTCCCTTCCTTCACTAAATTGGGGGTGACCGTGGCCAGTGTGACACATCTGGCCCACAGGCCATGAGTTTGACACCCCTGACTTAAGCGGTTGGCATGTGATCATAAATGCCTAATGAGATTATATTTATTTATTTTATTCCATTTACAGGAGTAGAAAACTGAAGACTCTTAAGACATATCAGAAGATGTTACTACTGGCATCACCAGTGCTGTCTTGGTTTCTGCCATGATCTTTGCTTCATCTGTTCTTTGATAAAAAATATAGAACTGAGCATTCTGCAAAGCCAAGCACATGCATGGGATATCTTTATTTACAAGGATGTTCCTTGGACTCATTATTTTCATAGAAAATTTAAAAAAAATCCACTTCCTTCAGAATGTTCCTATCTATACAGAAAAATGTACCAAAAGAAAACAAAAAAACGAAGAGCATTGTGCATTGTAGATAACAACATTCTTTTGTATTTCAAGCATATAATTATTATATTGCCATAACTGCGTAAAGGATGAAATGCTGTAGCTAAGAAGAAACAGCTAGGAAACCACAGAAATCCATGGTTTGGGTTTCAATAAAAATATTTGATATTTGTGGGAAGATAGGGAGAGAAGAGTAGAATGAATTCAGTTCAAAAGCATAGATCGGATTGAAGGAGCTGTAATTCTTTCAGGGTTTGGGAAATTTTCAAAAAGGGGTTAGGCCAGTTTTAGTTCATTTCCTATGAGATAGCTTGGTTTGAGGCGAGAGGAGAGGAGAGGAGACTGGTCCAGTTACCTAACTACCGGAAATTTGACCTTGAACCTCTCTGGTGCCAACCCAAATCTTCATCATTATACTTTTTGCCTGACCAACAGCTTTGATAAAATATGTTGTTGTTACTGTTATTTTAACCACTGTATCTTAATTCTTGCCAGCTGATGGGGTAAAAATGATGCTTGCTCTGATGGAGTACACAATGAAAAACAGCCTCCAAGTATTTGTAAACTGCTTATGCCTCAGTCAGATCCTTGAGGTTTACATGAGTTTATATGCTGAACCATTTGATTAAAAACTTGTTTGTATTCACCATACTTGGGCAACCTATTCTGCACATACAATCCCCGCAGAGTGATGCATGATGACAAATCTCACTTCTTTCAACAGCAGCTCATTATACAGCCTTCTGGAGCATGCACTTATGAATAGAGCCCCATCATGGTGGGATGTCAAGAGATTAAAAAGCAAAATGTATCAACACTTCTGCCTCTGTTAAAAATAAGCTGACGTTATGAAGTTCATCTCCCTTGGAGAAGTGTCTTGCCCAGAGGGGTTGCTAACAATAGTGCAATATTATGAAAGTTAATTACTGCTACAGAAGAATGAGCATGCTTTCAAATTTCCCCCAAAAAGAAATCCAAGCTAGTTAAACAAAATAGAATCCCCAGATGAATGGAGGAAGATGGAGAAAATGCTGGACATGATGAAAGTTTTCCATTTATCTTGCTGGGGAAGTTAGAGGTATAAATCAAATTAGATTTTACGAAAGCTTTTCCTATGAAAGAGTCCCTCCCACTCCCCTGGGGTTCAGATCGCTCCAGCGCAGTTCATAAAAACAACAACACCCTAATTCTTCTCTCTGGCTTCAAAGTCGGAATGCTAGAGGAACCCATTGTGTGTGTTTTGACCTGCACTGTTTAACTGTTTTGATGAGTTGATAGTTTTTGTTGGTCATCTTTTGTTGGCTTTTTTTTTTTTTTGCTGTTTTCATATATAGGTTTCTGTTTTTATGCTTTGTTACTCACCCAGAGTTACTTGATTAAAGTGGAGGAGGGGGGGGAGAAGTGGGAAAGTTTGCAAAATAAATAAATAAAATAAATCACTGGGTCAAAATGACAATAGTGCTACCCTTGCATTTCTGAAGAAGATATAAAGGAGATATAAATTATAAACATATAAGTTATATGAAGCTTCTCCAGTAGAGAACCTAGAATAAAGGAGAAATTTCTTGTCAGTGATAACAATTCATCAGTGCAACAGCTTGCCTCCAAAAGTTGCAAGTGCTCCGTCACTGGAGGTTTTTAAGAAGAGATTGAACTGCCATTTGTCCAGAATGGTATAGGATCTCCTGCTTGAGCAGGGGGTTGGTCTAGAAGACCTCCAAGGTCCCTTCCAATTCTTATTCTATAATTCCGTAATAAATATATCATTTTATAAAGATATAAAATTCAGAACTGCTACAACACTTGGTCTTCTTTTCAGGTAGAGAGTGGAAACAAATTTAACAGCCTGGAAGCTAATTTTAGGTACTTGATTTGAGGATAGAGGAAATAAAAAAGGTTTTCTGAACATTGGAAGTCAAAGAAAAGGTTCTGAGGGATGTGAAAGATTACTCTCTATTTGAAGAAAATTGAACTGAGCCAATAGTAAGGGAAAGTTTTGAATTAGTTTCAAATATTCTAATGGGGCATTACCTTCCAGAAAATAGCAACAGCAGCAGGAGAAAGAAATGAAGACACAACAAAACTACACCGAACACTGATTGATACAGACACATCATCTAAATTGAGCACGTGAAATAGAAAACTCAGGACGGCTGAGTAGAACAGTGGAATAGAACAGAGACAATTCTGAGACAAAATAAGGAAGGACACAAAACCTGATTAAACCAGAGACCAATCATGGATGATCAAAAAGTAACCTGTGTGAATATATACAATGGATGGCTAACAAACAGCTTAATGAAAACGTTTGCTTTGCAGTTATGATGTGATTTACAAATATTAGAAAAGAAGCCATAGCAGTTATGGCCAACTTACAGCAGATGTCCTATTCATTCCTTGTACAGGAAGATCACCGTAACTACCTCCGCTTCCTGTGGTTTAGTGATGATCAAAACAACCAACAGATTTCTGAATACCGAATGAGGGTGCATGTATTTGGCAACGGCTCCTCCCCTGCAATTGCGAACTATGGTCTCCAACATACTGCTCAAGAGGGAGGAGACAAATATGGAGCAGAAGCTCAACGCTTTGTAGAACACGACTTCTACGTAGACGAAGGCTTGAAATCGGTAGCCACCCCAGAGGAGGCCATAGGCCTCTTGAAGAACACACAACAAATGCTAGGGACGGCCAACCTCAAGCGACACAAGATAGCGTCCAATAGTGAAGAACTACAAAGGTGATTTCGGCAGCGACGCCCCCTTTATCCAATGCAGTCTCGGCTTGTGTTGGGACTTGAAGAAAGACTTCTTCACCTTCAAAACCCTAGCCCTAAAGACTGGCTTCACGAGGAGAGGAGTGCTCTCAACAATTAACAGCCTGTTCGATCCTTTAGGGTTTGCAGCTCCCGTCACCATTCAAGGTAGAATCCTACTGCGCACACACTCCCAAAACACCAAAGATTGGGACGAACCCCTCCCACCAGAGAAGAAGCAAGAATGGGAGTCATAGTGCAACTCTCTATGCTGTCTCCACAACATTCACCTACAGCGCACGTATGTTCCCATCTCGCCCACCACAGCACAAAGAAAGGAACTGCACGTTTTCTCAGATGCGTCAACAAAGGCAGTAGCAGCCGTGGCATACCTTAAAGTCTATGGCAGGGAGAGCAACGTGTATGTTGGATTTGTCATGGGAAAAGCAAAACTAGCACTGCAAAAAGGTCATACTATACCACGGCTGGAACTTTGTGGAGCTGCGCTGGCCACAAAACTATCAGACACGATAATGAAGATGATCGATCTTCCTTAGAACCCACCACCTTCTATACAGACAGCAGAGTGGTACTGGATTATATCTACAAGAGTAGGCGCCTCTACATCTATGTGAATAACAGAGTTGAACGGATCAGGAGATCTTCTGAACCTGTGCAGTGGCAGTATGTTCCAACAGACCAGAACCCTGCAGGTCATGCGACAAGATCTATTCCTGCATCCCAGTTATCAACTTTTACCTGGCTCAAAGGCCCCAAGTTCTTGTGGAGTACAGATGCCTTGGAGCCAGGGAAAACCGGTTTGTATGAACTCCTAGATCCAAATAATGATGGCGACATTTGCCTGCTAGTCAAGAAGGTAAAACCGGTTGCCCCTCTGGTCGACTGCCTGGCAACAATGGTTGAACGTGAGAAGGAAAGCCACTTAAAACCTGCTCACTTTGAACGCTTCTCCCAATGGAAACCTCTCATACTGGGAATGACTGTGGTCATCCGCACAGTCGTCCTTCTCCTCGGTCTTCGGAAAGGCTTCAAGTCATACTTCCCAGACCACTATACTCATGCTGAGAGACGAATATTGAGAAGTGTACAAAAAGAGGCATATGCGTTGGAATACAGATGCCTGAGTGCAGGGAAACCCATACCAAAATCTAGTCCACTTCTGAGACTGACCCTATACCTCGACAACCAGGAGGTACTTCACGTAGGAGGTCACCTACACAAAGCAGAAATGGACTCATACACCAAGCACCCCATCACCCTTCCTGCTAACCAACATGTAACAAGGCTGTTAGTACAACACTACCATGAAGCAATCCATCATCAAGGCTGCCACTTCACAGAAGGTGCCCTCAAAGTGAATGGACTCTGGATCGTAGGTGCCAAAAGATGTATCACAACTGTTCTGCATTCTTGCTTACATTGTCGCAAACAACGGGGTCACACTCTACACCAAATGATGGTTGACCTATCACCCGAGCACCTGAGTTCCGAACCACTGTTCACCAATGTAGGCCTCGATGTATTTGGCCCCTGATCTGTGTCTGCCTGATGGACCAGGGACGGTCAAGCTAACAGCAAACAATGGACAGTACTCTTCACTTGTCTCAGCATTTG